CTCTATAACTCAATAGGTCCGTAGTCATTTAGAATTGTATAGGTTATAATGAACACCTTGTGGTGTTTTTAAACAAAGAATAAATTAGAGAAATTTATCTACCTTGCCACACCTATCTGCTATTATAAACGCATTTTTACTCCGCTAGCTTTTTTGCATGCAAATTATATTAGATAGCAAATTGGTACTAATGTATTGCATTGACTAGATATATATAAAATTAATATATTATTATTATTATTATTATTATTATTATTATTATTATTATTATTATTATTATTATTATTATTCTGCAGGGTTCTTATTGGTTCTCCTTTGGCTGGTCAGCCCCAAAAGAAAACAGGTGATGTCTATAAATGCCCTGTAGGACAGGGTAATGGTTTGCCATGTGTAAAATTAAATCTGCCAGGTAAGAAAGTCAATGAAAGAAATTGCAAATTGACCTATCCTGACAAAACCAAGTTAGAAGCCAAAACATGTTTAAGTAAGAGACCAGAGGTAACATGCATCATAATCAAAGGACACTCACTAAACAGGCTAAGTGATAAAAAGAAATTAAAGTCCTCTCTGCAAAGAAAAGGAGGGTGCTATAATACAGTTTTTAATATAAATGGTACACAAGTAGTTGTCAACTTACAATCACAATTGTAACTGTATTTCTGATCATAGTTGAAGAACCCACGAGACAGACCCTATTTTACATGATTTCCATGGCTATTGTTAAATAAATCTGCAGATTCATTCTGCAAAACTCCAAATTTATTTTTCCAGCAAAAAATGCCAAAAACAGACATAAAACATAGCAAATCATGGTCATGAGACTGTAGAAGCTGCTACCAATTGCAGCCAATTGCCAAACACCCAAAATGCAATTACATGACTGGGATGTGTATAGTATGACATCAGGAGTGAGTTGCTAATCCCGTTCCAACCGGTTTGGTTGGAACGGGGCCGGCGGCGTCCTCGCGCACGCGCGCAGTTCACGCATGTGTCTTAGCGCCTGTGCAATGCTCCAGCTGCTCGCAGAGACTCGCACAGGCACTGTATGTGCCATCCATTTGCTCGCGGAGAATTGTGCAGGCGCTGTATGTGCCATGCGCCTGCGTGGAAGTACAGAAGCCTTCAAAGACCGGTAAGGAGCACGGGCGGGCGGGTGGGCCCTTCGCCATTCCCGGAAGTTACTTACTTCCGGGTTCGCCGACCAACCGGTTCGCGGGGACCGCCACGAACCGGTTGAAACCCACCCCTGTATGACATGTTACAATGGCCAGAAGTGTTTTACAGGCCATAAAACACTTGTTCTGGGCTGGTTGTAATTTCAGACATTCATTAAGTGCCTGGTCGTAAGTTAAAGACCATCTGTAAATTCCAATATTCTCTTTCCACTCATTTCCCCACTCATTGTATGGGGGTGCAATGCATCTTTTAGCTATATTTGTTACTTCTCAGAATCTTTTACCAAAGGTCCAGAAACTTCCTCCAAAGTCAATTATATAGTTTTTACTAACAGAGGAACTAGTGTGAGATCTATTACACTGCCGTTCCCATAACCTTTATTGCCCACTGAAATATTATGTATGCAGCTGATAATTTACTGATCCAACAGTGGAGCTATACAGAAAATGAAAAGTTTATTTGTTCCTAATTTTCAACTTTAAATGGATGCATATCTTCTAGTGTCACCCTGTTGCTATTTTGACATTCTCCTTGAGGTTCAAGAAAACTATGTGAAGCATTAGCCCAGACAAAGATTCTGGGATGAAAGCCAGGCATTTCACTTGTATTTCATAGTTTTAACCAAGAGGGAACAGGGAGAAAAAAGGAAAAGAAGCCAAGAAGATCCATGTTTTACATACAAATTTGGCATTTTAAACAAGCCAGGATATGATTTAATGTCTTGTTTGCATATATCCCCATATCTAACTTTATTTTCAATCTATCTATAGCCGACACTTCAATTCCTCAAGTTACAGAAGTAAAGGAGAATATGACTCTTGGGTCAACCTTAGTGACAAATCCTAAAGGAGGGTTTTTGGTGAGTAAATATATCTTGAGGATAATAAAAAACAATATGCATATTTACTATAACCAATACTATAATATTTACCATGAAAGCTTCCACATATAGAAGATTTCATCCCCCATTTATAGAAGGAATACAAAACTTGCAAAGGAAAGCAAAAATCACAAAATTTATTTTGACCATGTCATGCATGGGAAAGCAGCAATTATGTTTGGAAGTTAGTAGTAAAAGGAAACCAGATGACAAAAGAACATGGCGGCTGGACACCATCAAGGCTGATACCAGCCAGAGCAATGAGGAACTCAAGGATATAGTGCAGGATTAGAAAACGTTGAGTGACCTGGCCGATATAATCGCCAAGAGTTGAACACAACTGAATAGATAGCATCATCAACATGATGTTGAGCATGGTGGCGCAGTGGTTAGAAAGCAGTACTGCAGGCTTCTTCTGCTGACTCCTGGTTGCCTGCAATTTGGCAGTTCAAATCTCACCAAGCTCAAGGTTGACTCAGCCTTCTGGACCGAGGTGGGTAAAATGAGGGTCCAGATTTTTGACTCTGTAAAACCACTTAGAGAGGGCTATAAAAATCACTATGAAGTCGTATATAAGTCTAAGTGGTATTGCTATCATCCATGTAAGACACTAGATGCAGCACTGATTCTACAGATGGAAATGAGGAGAGCTACTTTTAGTCAGTGCCGTCATCTTTCTCCCATTCCTTCTAACACTTCTCATAGTATGCTTAGGGATGCTCTAAAGCAGTATTTCTCAGCCTTGCAACATGAAAACATGTGGACCAACTCCAGAATTACCAGCCAGCATGGCTACAAATGTTCAGATAGTACAGAGAATTGCAGGATTAGTGGGAACCAAGATCTCTAAAATCGATGAACAGAATTCTGCTCCTGAATACTGGATTCAACCCAGTGTTAAAGAGAAATGCCTCTCGGATACATAGATAACCAGCACAGATTCTTTGGACTACCAAGAAGTACTTTATATTTCATGCCAAGGAGTAATTATTGAAGGAGGAGAACTGCATTAGTTTACAACATCAAAATCAGACTTTGGTACCGTGTTTCCCCGAAAATACGACATGTCCTCATAATACAGCCATGCCACATTTTTCTGGTGGGCAAAAAATATGACCCACACACACATATAAGCCCCCTGGATAACCCCCCACCTCTGGCCAGGCAGAGCGTCACTCACCAACCTAGAAATTACCCGAAGGTGCCAAGCAGCGGAACCTGGAGGGAGGCAAAGGTGATCGCATTGCTTGGCGCCTTCGGGATACTGCTAGGTTGGTGAGCAGCACTGTGCCCAGCTGAAGAGGGGGGTTGCCGGGCAGCTGCTCTCTTGCGAGCGGGCTGCCAAAGAGCCAGGCACAGCCTCATGGGCGAATGGCTGTGTTGTGCTGTCACAGCAGTGCAACACAACAGCCATGAAGTGACCACGCTCACGAGCAGCCACCCGGCAAACCCCCTTTGCAGCCAGGCACAGTGCCATTCACTGACCTAGAGATATCGCCAAGCCACGTCAGTGCCTGTTCGCTGCCGCCTGGATCCCGCAGCTTGGCGCCTTCCAAATGCCAGTGAATGGCAGTCTGCATGGCTGGAGAGGGGGGTTGCATGAGCGCTGTTCCGTTCTCACTCACCCACCTCCCAATGAATGGCCCAGCTCTCATTACAGAGCCAGAGCACCTCCGCCGCTGCTGCCATTCCAGCCTGGCTTTTTCTGCGGCTTCCAACCTGAGTCTTTCGGCAGTGGCCGCTCTGGGCACATACTCTATGGTTGTATGCTCTGCAGGCAGCTGGCCCACAATCATAGAGCGTGAGCCCAGAGTGGCCACTGCTGAAAGACTCGGGTTGAAAGCTGCAGAAAAAGCCAGGCTGGGATGGCATCAGCAGCGGCGGAGGTGCCCTGGCTCCGTAATGAGAGCTGGGCCATGCATCGTGAGGCTGGGAGGCGGGTGAGCAAGAGCAGAACAGCCGCTCGCACAACCCCCCTCTCCAGCCATGCAGAGCGCCATTCACTAGTATTTGGAAGGTGCCAAGCCACGGGAGCTGGGCAGCGGCAAACAGGTGCTCACACGGCTTGGCAATACCCCTAGGTCAGTGAATGGCACTGTGCTCAGCTGCAAAGGGGATTTGCCAGGTGGCTGCTCGTGAGCATGGTCGCTTCATGGCTGTTGTGTTGCGCTGCTGTGACAGCGCAACACTGCCATTCACCCATGAGGTTGGCCAGCTCTTTGGGAGCCCACTCACAAGAGAGCAGCCGCCAGGCAACCCCAAAACAATAAGCTGTCCCCCCATAATAAAGCCCAAGCCATATTATGTAGGTAAAAAGAAAATAAGACCCTGTCATATTTTCGGGGAAACACGGTAGCATATTTTCAAATAAATTAATTTATATGGTTTAAGCTTTCATGAACCAGAACTCCTATCCTCAGATACTTGAACTAGCAAAACTGATATAAGATTTAAATTGGGATGAGTTGGGAGGAAAGAGGGGGTGGTTATGGAGATGCTGGTTGCACCGAGACAGATTTACAAGTGGTTCTAATAATAATTATAAGGTCCTAAGAAATGCTTGTCAGTGCTGAGATTTTCTGAAATATCATGAATCCCTGTGATGTGTGTGAATTGAGCAATATTTCCCTGAGTTCTGCTGATAAAATTACTTTTTTTCCAAAATGCCTACTTTGAGATCTGTAGTGGAGTTTCATGGGACTTAAATACTGTTATATTAGTTTTGTTCTAAAGCCATATTCACTTAACAACTGTGTCAAGAAAGGTCGTAAAATGGGGGAAACCCCACTTAACAAATGTTTCATTGAACAACAGAAATTTTGGGCTCATTTGTGATCATAAGTCAAGGAGTATTTGTATTGGAATAACCTAGGAAAATGGGACACAATTTAGAATTACATATACCTGTTTATTTCATAACTGTGTATTTATCAGTGTATTTAACATTGTATTAGTGTGTTTATTTTATAAAGGTGTATGTATCAGATATACATTTATCAGATATATTCAGAGCAATAATTTTGTTACTATGGTAGAGAATAAATGCAGCTCAGAGTTGAATTGCTGGGTTCCTGGGGTTCTCTAGACTTCCTTAGATCCCACAGATTAGGCCTCCTCCGGATTCCATCTACCGGCCAATGTTGATTGGCAACCACCCGGAGGAGGGCCTTCTCTATGGCTGCTCCGGCCCTCTGGAACGAGCTCCCCGCGGAGATTCGGACCCTCACCTCCCTTCAGGCTTTCCGTAAAGCCGTTAAAACCTGGCTGTTCCGGCAGGCCTGGAGTTGACGAGATCCCTTCCGCGCTCGAATTGTGTGACTGTTGATTGTTTTTAAATTTTTCTCTGTATCTTGTTTGTTGTGTTACCTTGTTTGTACTACCCCCCTCCCCTGGGTTTGGTAGCCGCCATGAGTCCCTCCGGGAATAGGGTGGCATATAAATGCAATAAACCTTTAACCTTTCCTTGTTTAACACGCAAATATAATAAGGATAAGTTTCTACTGCACAGAATTCCAAAACTGGATCAGATCCCTTTGGTAATTTCAGTTGTGGCTGTGCCATCATATTGCTGTTGCAATGATTTATAGTTTTACTTAGGAATTCAGTAAGCATATTTCTAACCATTGTGGATATCAAAATAGCTGCTATACAATATGATGAATTATTTAAACATTAAAGAACAATTATTTGTCTCTTTATTATAGGCATGTGGACCTCTTTATGCTTATAAATGTGGACATTCCTATTACACCACTGGTATCTGCTCCAACGTTAGTTCCAATTTTGAAGTTGTAAATTCCATTGCTCCATTGCGAGGTATGCATACATAAAAAATGTTTTTGTATGTGTTGAACGTAGGTAGATCTTGAAAAAAAGTCTAATATATACACAGAGTCACATCAGAAATATAAACTAATTTTCAAGGCAACTGGTATGACCAAATTAGGAAAATGTTATATCTGTTTGTATATTACCTAAATGCTTACTGCTCCTGGAATTTATTTTCAGAATAAACAAGTTCATAGTATTAGTCACAAATGAAAATCAGTCTAATAATAATCTTCAGGCCACCACAGAAAGCTAAATGCCTCTTTAATTCAAGAAGACAAAATACTTGTCCTTGTATTAGTTTTTATGAGATACAAGGCTCCATTCTTTGTGCTGATTCCCAGAAGCAGAAATTAAATTGCTTAATCATATTAAAAATGTTCTTTTCAAAAATACTTTTGGAAGCCTTCTTGGAGGATATGATTGCTACCCTACCATCTTCCTTCTTCTTCCTTTCTTTACATTGCTCCTTGGTTGAGGACAATTGAGGACAATTACAATAAATGTCCTTTCCCTTTACTTTTAGTCTTCTTTTCTATTCAAGGTCACTGCAGTTGTTTCTTTTTTATATAGACAAATGATGCTATACAATCATCCCTACACATGGTAGTAATATAATTCCAGATCTATTCCAGCAAACTATTGACGTAATTAGACTTCAAGAGTCCTAAATATTGGAGGCTTCTGTGATTTCTTCAAGACAATCACTATAATGTTTGGCAAGTTGCATGAATAACTTGTTTCTGTAATTATGCATTCTGAAATAGTTAAAATGTCTAGGGATGGTCAAAAAACACACACCAAAGAAACATTTGAAGTACAATATGTCTTAAGTAGAATTCCTGTACAGCAATCTTAATAAAACTGTATATATTTTAGAACCACATTTAAACATAGTTATGAATAACTTAAAAAATTGAAAATGCTCTTTATTATTGAGATATTTCTTGATCTCCATGTAGGATGCAAAGGCCTAGTATTCATGAAATAACCATTAACTAAACCATGCTCTCTCTTGTCCATAAAGCTACTCTATGCCATCTCAGATCACCACTTTCAGAACATCTCAAGATGCTACTAGAAGCTCTTTAATCTGAAACCTTCCAGACTGGAGTAATAGCTCCAACTCCTATACTGATGAGTTAGCATCATCTAGTTACAACAAGCTCCAGAACCATAGAACCAGTATATCAGTGCTAGAAGTGAGTCCAACATTTGCTCCAGAGCGGAGGTGGATTGCTACCAGTTCAGCCCGGATCAGCCGAACCGCTAATAGCAGTGGTGGGAGGCTCTGGCCACCCACCCGGACGCTTCTGCTCATGCGCAGAAGCATCATGTACACACACAAGTGAACTGGTAGTAAAAATAATAGGAACCCAACACTGTTCCAGAGGCAAAATAGGCTGAGTTTCAGGCTGGGCAGAGAGAGAATGACTGGTCCAAAATAGCCCAATGAATTCCATAATACCATAGAAGATGAACCTCCATTTCCCTTCACCAAGCAGAACTTTATTATGACATTATCCAGAGGCACTGATTCAAATTCTAGCAACTCAAAAACTTCATCCTTCATCTTCTGCTTGGATGTGTTCCATTGTGTAAGTCTCTACCGTATAAACTATACTAGAAAAATAGATAGTACAATGGAATGTAGAAACTCAGAGCACTTAATCTTGCATATAAGTTATATCTGAGATGTATCATATCTCTTATGGGTCACTTAAAAGTAATTTATTTTGAAATTAAAGGAGTAGCAGGGTTTCAATTTAACAGAAAAACCACTACGTGCTTTGAATATTTTCTTATTTTATGTTTCCTGTTGCAGAATGCAAGTCCCGGTTGGATATTGTCTTTGTTCTTGATGGATCTAACAGTATTTTTGAATGGAAAGATGTCACCAATTTTTTGAAGCGAATACTGCAAAATATGAGTATAGGCCCCCATGATACACAGGTACACTAAGGCAAATGTGTTATATTTGATTTGATCTGATCTATAGCATAGCTATACAATCAGGGATAGCTTCAATAATATAAACTTTTCTAATTTACCAATCCTAGGGAGTGGTTCTGCAATAGACAAGAAATCTTTTATAGTTTCTTACATATGTCAATTAATTCATAGATATCAAAGGGAATGTTTAATGGTACCAGATCATCTGGAAAAAACTGTATTCAGCGGTGGGATTTACTTACCTTCCCTACCGGTTCACAAATGTGAGCACATGCACCGCGTCAACACATGCACACTGCCTTCTGCTCATGTGCCATGCTCACGCATTATGTTGGGGCGGGTGGGCGGAGCCTCCTGCAGCCACCGCTACCAGTTCACCCAAACCGGAGAGAACTGCTTGAATACCACCTCTGAGTGTATTACAAATAATCAGCTTGTCAGAGGTGAACTCAGATATTTATCTCAGCCACCAAGAGAAGAAGGAGAAACTCTTCACGCATGATGCAAAGCTAAGAAACATTTATAGTGCCAATGAAAAAGTTGTGAGCCAATCATATTGCAAAGGAACATGGGCATTTTAGAAATAGGAAATGTAAATAAGTAAATAATAGATAAATAAATATATGCATTTGGATATCAAAGACACAAGCATATTTGCATAAAACACAGACATGGCAATGAAAAAACACTGTGTTAAAATACTATTGCTATGGGGAAAAGTCATATTGGTTCTGTATGAGTCTACAGAGAAACCCCTTCTTACACTTATTTCATTGCTTTGTATATGGCTAGTGCAAAGCCATAAACTGTTGGAATCGTATTTGAAGTAATATATACCACCGCCTTGTTCCACAATGTTTTTCTCCTACTGTCCAATGCAGCCTCCAGTACTGCTGTTTCCTGAAAGTTTTCTTTCAAAGTACTGTATGTATCAGAAGCAATTCTGCTAAGCCTCCAAGACAAAACAAATTCTTCCAGGTGCTGCCATCTGCTGAGACACTTTAATAGTTTCAAGAGATTTTTCAAATTCCCAGTCCATAGGCTCATAGGCATTTTTGCTGGGTGTATGCTCTTTGTCTGCTTCCTATTCTTCTATTGTACTGACAGTTGCACTTTGTACTATACAACTGAATGGAGACAATGGCACAACGATAACGTGCTTCTGCCTGTGGCTGCATGCAGTAGGAGTTGGGTGATTAAGAAGTATGTGTGGTAAAAGCAGAAGAGATAAGATCAAGAGTGGGTGGGTGATCAAAAGTATATCACCCTTTTGGATAAAATAAGTTTATTGCGGTAACTTGGTCAGAAATGCAGAATGGGTTAGGGCTAAGTCATAAAAGAACTATATGAACTGAGAGGAAGAGGAAGACTAAGAAAGTTGTAGAAGCTTATGAGATCTTAGAAACAGAGAGGTGAGAAGTTCAAAGGCCAAAAAACAATGTATGAATCAGCATGGGGATATACTAAAAGCATAGATGGTTTGCAAGGATAGAAAAATATAGTGAATTGGGGAGTTGTAAACTAGGCGTAGTTATATTTCCTTTTGCTTTCTCCTGTCTCATAGCTTCGCTTCTTTGTATTTAGGTATTTTACATAATATTGCTTACCTTAAAAAAAATAGCATGATGGAAATATAAAGCATGTGTACATGGGAAATAGACATAGAGAAAGAAAATGTGCTTAAAGAACAATTGAAAGGCTATACTGAAATAACTTGAAGTTAGGATTAGTATAGAATGACAAAAAACCATTTCTTTGGTTACCCAGAATTGATGCTCAGCCATAGAAAACTTTTAAATAAATAAAGAACACAAATCAATTTATAGAGAGAGAATGCATATAGGCACTGACTCCACTTTAAAGTGATATACGAGAGCAATAAACTATTTGTAGAAAAACATCAGAGATGAACTGACTGAACTATTGAAAGCTTTCAGAAAAGAAACATCTAAAGTACAAACAGCTGCATGTCAACAAATATGAAACAACACCATGGCACAGAGATTGAAAAATTGGTGTATATTCACACACTGTCAAAATATTACACTCATTCCTTATACAAACGAAGGATTGCTTAAGATCTTAGAAGAAGAATACAGCTATATATGGTCAGAAAAATGTCAGGAAGTTTTCGGAAAAGGCAGAGAATATGTATGATCAGATAATGAATACAAAATGGTATTGGAGAGAACATTAAGGTTTTTAAGACAGCAGATCTGGCACTTTCAGAATATATAACAACTGCAGTCCAAATTGGAGGTCAAACCAGGAACAGTTTAAAATATGAAGACCACACCATTCTGTTAAACAAAGGTAAAAAGCCTTAGGAAAACTACAAATGGAAAGTTAAAAAAATGCATTAATCTTAAATATTAAGAACAGAAAGATAAAATGAACCAGCAAACTTTGTGAATTCACAGTTGAGTTGAAGAAGTATAGGGGAAGTTTTGTTGTTTTAGGATACAGAATAGATAAAAGTGGAAAATGTACTCAAGAATTAAAAAGGGAGATTGATCATTTGAGGGAAGGTAATTGCGTATATAGATGACATCATGAAGATCAAGGCTATTTCTGTGACAGTAATGATTGGAATATTTAAAGCAATCATTTTCCTCATGATAATGTATGGCGGTTAATGTTGGATATTGAGAAAGAGGCAGGAGCACCCAAAGCAGTCTTTTTTAAGCTTTAAAATAGCATGTGCAAACAATATTGAAACTTCACCCTATTTTATATGCTTGCAAAACATCTGAGACATGTTTAAAAGGGCTAGGGCTTTATCACCCGATCACATCCATCATTTGGAAGCCAATGATTATTTATGCATATTCTGAGAAATTAAATCTTCAAATTACCAAGTTGGAGAAGTTATCGGTAAGAGTACCACGAATTGCAAGAACAGCCAATCAATCAATCAAATAACACAATGTATAACATGAGTGGACATGATCATGGAAATCATATACCACATACCACAGTCACATTTCTTGAATGGCATGGCCTAGGCAAGCATGAAATGAGTTTAATAAATACATATTATTGGAATGTCCATGGAAGAAATGTAGACCGTCATCAAGAATTGGATTGCTATGCTATCCATTTCTGTAGTCGTAGGTTCAAAAACAAGAAAGTCATACATTTGTTTCAACTTCCTATTATTTCCTCTGATAGAACTCTATGGAATTTCCAAGAAGCTGACATGATATTAGTTCTTTCTGTGTGAATATGGGTGTCTTGTCCTCATTTCCAGATCTGCTAAGAATAGGAACCCTACTTTGGGATGCCATCACTATAAAGCATATTTCCCTACAACTACCTGTCAGCACAAACTTTGCAAGGGGAACATTATATATTGTACAAGCATGAGAGAGATCTATACAATCTACGCAGAACAAAATCTTCTCAAGTAGAAGATCAGTAGAATCAGATATATTAAATCTATTTAGTAAATTTAAGAACTGAAAATAGAATGTTCTTGGAACAGACCTGAAGTCCATTACAATTTCCAGAATGATCAACTAGCACCAACTGCAGCAGGGGTGGGTTTCTCGCCCCGTTCCAACCGGTTCGGTTGGAATGGGGCCGGCGGCGTCCTCGTGCACGCGCGCAGTGCACGCATGCATACTAGCGTCTGTGCGATGCTCCAGCTGCTTCTGGACGATCGCGCAGGCACTGTATGCAT